GTGTATATTTGTATGTAGTTAGGACTTCTTAAATTGCAAAGGACTGTAAATGTAAAATTGCAAATGGACTGTAGAGAAAAACCATAGGTGTGGTAGTTCACTCATGTAATTTACCAGCCCTGAACATAACTTACTTCAAGTATGGCTGGATCCAGACTCTCTCTGTGTCTGTCTCACTGTCTCTTGTGTCTCTGTCTCTGTCTCTCTTTCTCCCCTCCCCCTCCCTACTCTGTCTCCTCCTCCTTCCCCCCTCTGTTTTCCTCAGTATCAGCTTCATTCCAAGGCAGGGTCTCCCTTCTCTCCCAGACAGTTGCTGGCTGGTCCAGGCTGATATTCTGCCCACTCAGCAACCAGAGTGCTCTCTGTTCCCATAGCTGGAATAAAAGTAGCAGGATGGGCTGTTGTTGGTCTGGCTTGTGGCATATACCTTGGTCAGAACAAATCCTTGCAGCCTGGGGTATCCTGAGTACTGATTGATAGTCCTGGGTCATATACCTGCCTACTGTGTGTGTGTGTATATGCGTGTGTTGGGCACAGAGCAAGTGTTAAAATCAATACCAACTGGGGGTAACAGTTGACTTCCCAAAAGAAAGTCAGATTGTTATGATTGTTATATAAGCAGAAATAACAGATATCCGCTATTATGTTGATGTGTTGTATACATATGTAAGCATTTATATGCATATTTGTATATAACTTTGTACTATTAACATTTATTTATGAATTGATTGATTTCTACTTAGTTTATATGGTCACATGATCCAAAATTTAAAAGGTACAAAAGGGGGTACAATGAATAGTCTCCTTCCTGCCCTCACCCCAGCTGCCCAGCCAGCCCCATCTCCTGAGGCACCCAGTAGGTTGGACAGTAAAGAGTTCTCACCTTTCTTTGCAGAAGTGTCGTGTATATATGAAAGCCAATCCGTAACCCGTTCTCTACCCCTCCCCCAACCCACTGAGACCTGCACGGATGCCTCTGTACTTGGAGTTGTACCTCTATGTTTGCATTTCAAGATGGAGGGAAAAGTCTGGGCTGGACAGGGCTGCAGGCAGGCTGGCTTGGGGAGGGACAGGATCATGCACCACTGCCCACTGAGCTCCCTGCCAGCTGCTGGCTAAGTCAGGAGCCTTCAGGCCCCAAGGGAGGAGCTACAAGGGAACCCCAACCCGCATGGTGATCCCAGCAGCAACAGTACCTCTAGCATATGATTTGACACCTATTTTAAGGCCAGGCCAGCAGAGTAACAGATGGCCAGGGACTAGGGGCTGAATGAGCAAGGATCTGTTCTGGTTGGAGGAGCTGGCACAGGAATGAACTCCCCAGAGGTGGGCTCAGCCTAAGGGCAGCTGTGGGAGAGGCTGAGAATACGCAGAAGCTCATGCAGCCCACAAGCTTCAGCCTCTTTGGGCAAACCAGACCTCAACCTACCACTTCCATCTATCTGTGCCCTACCAAAGGGAGAGTCTACCAAATGTCCAGCCACCTCCTCTGCCCCTACTTGGCAAGCTTCCAGCAGGACCAAAAAACAAAAGCCTGAACATAGCCAATCACAGGTCACAGTCCTGGCAGGGTGGCTCGCACCACACCTGACATTTATTCACCTGTTGATGCTGAAATCTGGCAGAGGGTTTCCCACGGACTCGGAGCACCCTGAGACCCTCCTCCTCCTCCTTCTGCTTGAGATGAGAGCTGTGCTTCTGGGAGCCACCGTAGCTAAGTGTTGTCCTAATTCTCTGCCCTGGAGCAATGAACTCTACCTCCTCCAGTCTGTGTGGGAGAAACGTCATCCAGTTCTCCTTGGAACTCAGAGCACACAGTGACTCCTTTCTCCTTTTGCGGTCAGGAAATGAATTTTGCTCTGCTTTTCACTTGGGGGCTTATTATGCAATTGCTTAAAATATGCAACGGGATGCAGATATTTATATGAGGATGTTGAAATGATGGCTTTTTAATGGAAGCAATCTAATTATGCTATATCTGCACTCCTTTCATTTTTAAAGAATTATTCTTACAGTATCTTTTTAAAAAAGGAAAAGGTGTGTGTGTGTGTGTGTGTGTGTGTGTGTGTGTGTGTGTGTGTGTTGTGTGTGTGTGTGTGTGTGTGTGTCTAGGTTGTGTTTTTGTTTTTGTTTAGGGTATGTGGTTTTATTTAATCTCCCAGTCTGTTTAAATGGATTGCAAAAAAAAAAATCCAAAAAGTATATGGCTGTGATTTAACAAGATAATTAGCAGCTGCACTTTATAACAAAATCTAAGGCAATTATCACTTCAGGAGGACCCGGAGGAATCCCAGCTGCCAACATCCTGCTTTGCTGCCAGAGGGAATGACATCATAACTGCTCCAGACAAAAGGGAGGTGGTTTCTGGTCACTGTGATGTCACTTGCTCCAGCAGACAGTCCCAGACAGCTGGGAGACAGGTGGCTGCTTCCTAGGATGGAAGATAGTTACCAAAGGACTTCGGGGCATCACAGGCCCCAATGCTGCGTCCCCCCAGGGCCACCAAGATACAGCATGTACTCGGGCTCCTCCCCAAGACTTCAAAATAGCTTCTAGAGAAATTAAATTGTTCCTCCTTTCTTCTCTCTAGCCCCATTTCTAAATCTTTATCCCAACTAATCAAATTCAGTGACTTACTGGATCCTGCTCATGGTCAAGTTTACAACAACATAGCCAAGATGTGTCCCCTTGAAGATGAGAACTGCTAAATTGCATCGGATAGCAACTCAAAGCAAGTTTAAGAACCAGATTTGTATTTCCACTGCAGGGCTCCTTTTTTTTTCACCCTATGACCAACTATTTATCAATCTAGGCTCCTGAGTGCTTTTTCAATCAAAAACAGAGCACTCTAGCACAAAATTGTCAAATTTTAGGTAGCAAACTGGAATTTGTCATTGATTGAATTTTATGTGTAAAATTGAGCCAGCAAATGTTTAAGGGCATTGTGGGATAGCCCTCCAGTGAATGCACTGTGAGTCTTCTGATGGTTCCAAAAGATAGAGAAAAGTGATCTAATTTCCTTGTAAATCACAGTAGTTACAGAGCAGCAAGCTGACTCTACTTACAGGCAGCCAAATGTGCCCCCCACTATCACACCCCTTCCTGAAACTATAAAGCAATAGGCCAGGCCTCGAACGTCACATTTCCAGATGACATTCTTGGTGCCTGGGTGGGAATCTGTCCTCTGTCGCTTGACAGATAAACCACAGAAACTGTGCTTGTTCATGCACACTGGCTCCCCGCCCCCAACCCATCCCCCTTGGGCCCAAGTTACGAACCTGAGGAGAAAAAAATGTGGTACTGCATCTTTCATTCCTTCTCCCAGCCTCAGCCAGTAGGCTTCTGGGCCCCATAGAAAACAAAATGAAACTTGAACAGCCCCAAGAAAGCCACCAACTCCTGGGGTTTACTCAAACACCGAGCTTCATTCCTGAAGTAAGAAAGGCATCCCCGAGTTCAACCTCCTTGTGGAACCGGGTGGAGTGCTGCTGCCAGGGCTCAGCGTGCAGCCCACACACAGCAGATCCTTTGGCCCCTTGTCATTCTTAGACTTCTAGAAAACTTCCTGCTTCCTTTATAGAAAACAGGTGTCCACGTCTTCCTGCATTAGTCTGGACGCCAGGCAGGACCCTGGGCTAGGGGGCTGCTCCCATTATCTGTTGCTGCTTTTGACAGCACCAACCTTAGTGGTATAAGCACCAACATCTCAGTATGCTGTGAACTCTGTGGGTCAGAGAGCTAGACTTGTGCCACTGTGTCGGGGGCCTCTGATGGGAAGACCAGAATGGCTGAGGGTGACTACTTGATGGCTGAAGTCTGGAATCATCTGAAGTTCTTTTGCTCACAGGGCTGGTGCTTGGGCTAAAATGACTCAAAGCCTGGACGGCTTGCACTGTTAACTGCTGTACCTACATGGGGCTGCATATAACTTCCTCATGGGTCTGGACTTCCTCACAGTGTGGCAGCCAGTAGCCAGGCATCTTCCATGGCAGCTTGGAGCTCCAAGGATGAGCGCTCGGTGAACAAAGCATAAATTGCATGGCTTTGGTTTTCCCCAGTCCTGGGGATTGAACCCAGAGCCTTCACACTGAGCTACATCCCCAGTCCTATTTATTTCAAACTGGTGATCCTCCTCCCTTGGCCTGCCAGAGTGTTGGGATTACAGGCATGTGCCACTATGTCCTGCTTCCATAGCCTTTATGACTTAGTCTTGGAAGTCACATAGCACCTGTAGTAGTATTTCGGTTGAAGCAGTCACAAGCCCACCCAGATTCAAGGGAAGGGGCCATCGAACCATCTTTTGATAGAAAGAGTGTCAAGAATTTGCTGCCATGGTTCAAAGCCCCCACAGGCCGACTCTCACTTTCAGCCAAGCTGAGCGTTGAAGTCTGTCCATCAGTAACCGGGATGGGAAGCCAGCTCTGGGGATGTGAAGGGGAACAGGGGAGGGCCCAGAGCAAGCTTCAGTTTGCCTTTTTTATTTCAGTCTAATTCTGCTCCCTCATTTCCAAGAGTCTCTCCAGGTTGGGAAGTGGAACGCAGGCTACAGCAAGCCCCTTGCTCCATCCCAGCCAGGGCTTCCACCTAGAAGTGAAGCCGTCTGAGCTGTGGGGTTTGGAGATTACGGCCAGAGTTCCTGGCACAAGAGGCTTCTGGGGTGTTTGTTTCCACTCCAGTTCCCAAATACATCCTCTAAACCTGCACCCAGCACTAGTCAGGGCCTTTCAGGTGCTGAGGAAGGTAATGGAAGACAGGTCTGCAGTGGGGGCTAGAAGGGAACTTTCAACCTAGGAGAATCCACCCTCCAGGTCCTGCACACATTCCCCCACCCACCCCGTCCTTTTTATAAAAGTTGAGGGAACCAAGACTCAGAGGGCCCACGATTAGTCCAGGGTCACCAGTGTGACGATGGCTGAGCTGAAACTGTGTTTCCCTGCCTTCTGCCCTAGGGTACTTTCTGTCACTGGCTGGGGGCCAGGGGTTCCACTCAGGGGACTCACCACTAATTGCCAGCATTTGGCCAGCTCAGCCAGCCGTCCTGGGCCTCTGGGCAGCTCTGGACCTTCCAGGAGGGTTCTGCCTGCCTGCAGCAACCCACAGAGGCCCCCTGGGCATCCAGGGCCACACTGCCACAGCCTTCGGTCTCCTCGGCTAATGGCAGCGGCTGCAAGGAGAGTGAAGCCGCAGTAATTACAGCATCAGGGAATCACAAATGGAGCTGCAAAGATGACACTGGGAGCATTAGACCTGGCACGGCTGCCTCCTGAGAGGTGGCTGGGAGGAGGCTGAAGCCAGGGCCAGGGACAGAGACAGACGCGCCTCTGTCTCACCCCACCCCCTCCGCTCCCAGCCTGGCTGTGATGACAATGGCAGGGATTCACAAGACCCTCGCAGAAAGCACATCAGCCGCCAGGCTTGTGTGTGTCAGAGAAGATAACAGATGTCTTTCACAGCGAAGTAATTGCTTGAGACACAACCGGACAACCCCCCAGAAGGTTGCACTGGGGGCAGGGAGCCTAGCTTTGGGGACGGGGTGCCCTGATGGCAGCCCCCTCCCCAGATCTCGTGATCCCTTGACTCCCTCATGAACTGGGGCAGCCCGCAGCTCTGGGGAAGGTAATTATTATGTCACTGGGTGCTGCTTCCTTCTCCTGCGAGATAAGTTGGGGTGATAGCAATGGGGCAGAGCTTCCTGGGTGGAACCTGTCCCTGGAGGAATTCTCCAGTGGCTGCAGAGTGTTGGGGGAAAGAATTGGCAAAGGGCAAGGTCTTGGTCAGTTAGCATCTTCCAAAGCCTGAGAAATGGGTCCAAAATGCCAGGCTGCCTTTGGCCAGAGCTGGCACCAGTAGGTGTCACTGTAAGAAAGGAGGGGCCCCCCTTGGGCTGTCTGCGGACTGCGCTGGTAAAAATAGAGCTCGCCTGTATTCCCACTGCCAAGTCACCAAGCCTGGTGATTTATAAGGCTGAGAGCAGACATGTGTGTAAATGTTTTTGCGTGTGAGATGTGTAGCCAACCGCAGGCTGGCTTTTTCAAACTTACAAGGAGAGCAAGGGAGGGAGGAAGCAAGGGAGGGAGGGGGGAATAAGGCAGCCAGGGTGGGAAGCACATGGGCCACTTTTATGTAACACTCCTCTGATACACGCCGCAGTGGGGATTGATGCTCTCTTTGAAGTAAATTGCATCCTGGTGCACCATAGCATGAAAGTTAAGATTTACCATGGCTGGGACCTCCGAGACCCTGCTGGAAGCTAGAATAATTAGCACAGCATTTGGCTGCCTCTCCTCCTGCTCTGCGGGCGGTGACAGGAGTGGCACTAATAGATCTTCCAGGCCTGGGCCCCGTGTGTTTGTCATGAGGTCCATGGTGGCAGCAGGGAAAGAGGACCCTGGTCAACTGTAGGAGGGGAGGCAGGAGATGCCTTGTGGGGCAGGGAGGGGACTGACCTCACTGGCAAGCACAGTGGGACCTGATCCTCTTGGGGCTCGTTGGCGAACCAGCTCGCCCGTCCAAAGTCCTCAGACACTCTGCTGTCAAGAGGAGGGCTTGGGGAGGTTCTGGGCCATTATCACCCTCTGAACCCAGAGAGTTAGTCTCTAAAACAGGGCTCCAGGGCCAGACTCCAGGCACCTCACAGGTGGGCGTCTTGGGGGTGTCTGCCCAGTCTTGCCTACCCCTGGATCATAGCCCAGTACTCAGTGGCTGGGACCCAAGCCTTCCTGACTTCCTTGCTCCCCGCCCCCTCCTGCATCTTTCCCAGGGGCTGTCCATTCTCATGCTTGAAAAGCTGAGAAGTCAATCGATCAACACACCCTGAGCCTCAAGGGAAGAGTCTCTATAGTCACGAGGTCACCCCAGTTGTGCCCTTAACCAGCTGCCTGACCTTGGGCAAGTACCAGACTCACTCTGGGCCTCAGCTCCCACTTGTGTAACAGAATGGGTTTGTGTTTGGGCCCTATCATCCTGAGGGGTCTCTACTCACGTTCTGTGACATATTTGACTCCTCCACATATACTCTCCACCCCAGGACACCCTCAGAGAAGAGTCGGGCATCAAAGTGCAGAAATCCTGTCTAGTTACAGAATGTGGGTACAGTGACAGGATGCCATTTGTTTGCTTTTGGGAGAAAGATGGGCACTAAGTCAACCTGAATGAGAACTTGTCAGAAGTAAATGAATGACACCCACAAGGAGGGTGGGCAGGGCAGCCCCTACATGAGCCAGGAGCAAGCAGTTCCCAAGGTCAATGTCCAAGCCAGGTTGGGAGACGCATTTGCCCCCCCACCAGGCCTTGCACGGTGTCTGGCACAAGTTGGGCCAGTAAATATTTGCTGAACTGAAGTTACATCAGTACCACCACAGTGACCTCAGTGATGAGGAGATAAAGCTACGAGGGACACAGGAGGGAATCAGGCACCAGTAGGATAGAAAGGTTAAGCAAGGGCAAGAACCAAGTTTTGCAAGCTCATTGCAGGGTCTGGAGTGCTGCAGGAGTTGGGATCAGACTCACTAAGGGACAAAGGTGCTTGGACAGGTTCTGAAGGACGGGTTTCCAAAGTGTCCTCAGCCATCTTTCCAGTCATCTGTCCAGCCTGGCAATTTGGGGAAAATCCGGTCGATGAAGTAGAACTAGCAGCGACAAATGTCAAGTGAGATTCTGAACAAACTGTCTTCCTGCTCCTCTCCCTTCCTCTACCACTCGCTAAATCCCTACCTGCCACCTGGGTGTGGGAGAGAGACACAAAGTGGGGACTCCCTCCAGGGTCAATCCTGGGCCCAGAAAGATGGGGGACTTCAGGGTCTCCTTGCCAAATCTCTCTACTCCTGGTTTTCCAGCCTCAGGCATCTTCCTGAGCTAAAGTGACTGCACATCTCCACCCTGGAGTGCACCATAGGATCTGCCTTCTGGCAGCCAAGGGCAGGGCACTGGTGAGACAACCACTCCCACTCAAGGTATTTCAGCTGTCTCCGCCATCAAAGTCTCACCTGGGACAGGTGACATAGACTTACCAAGCAGACAGGCCAGCAGAACAGCTCAGGGTCTTGGTTTCTCCTCAAAAGGGTGGATGGCTTGGCGGATGGTTGGAAAAGTGAGTGAAGGGGTGGGTGGGTGAGTGAGTGGGTGAATGGGTGGGGTATGGGTTGGAGGCAATGGATGAGTAGATGGATGGATGGATGGATGGATGGATGGTGAGGAATGCGAGGCTACACAAAAGATACTCCTCTTTTGTCTCTCCTTGAGATGTAAAACAGCCAGATTTCTTGGCTATAGGAAATTGTCATGTTTAGTCAACTGCCATTCCACATTCATGACATCCTGGAAAGAGGGAGAGCTTGGAGACAGACAGACCTAGTTCTGAAAAGCAGACCTAACAGCACTAGCTGTGTGACCTTGGACAATCTATAAACCCTCAAGAACCTGGTTCACCGGTGTAAAATGAGGGTAGAAGTCATTACCTCTCTTTCAGGAGTGTTCTGAGGAAAGAGAACCTTCTCAAGAAATGACTGGCAGACGGCAGCTGTGTGGTAGCAAAGAAGTGAGTTAGAAGTGGGAGAAAATAGCCAGTTGGGGTCTAAATAGGTCTGGAGTAGAACCTGCCTCATCCGTCCCAGGGTGGTCTTGGACTGAGGTGGTAAATTCAGACCCTCAGTCTCCTCTTCATCTATCAAAAGGGACTACTAATTGCATACCTTTCGGGGTTGCCATAAGAAGCAGCCATTCTATGTGAAGCTCGTAGCACAACAGATGGTAGCCATTAGTATCTCTCACGAAAGCATTCAGCCTTTCCCAGCCACACAGCCCACTCTCCAGCCCTTCTATACTTGGCAGGTGGGGAAACCGAGGCACAAAATAAGACACTCAAGCAGTGCGAGAGTGATAAGATCTAGGTTTCCTCCAGTGTGTCCCACAAGCCAGGAGGAGGCACCATTAGTGATGATGTTTACCAAGCTTAGCCCTCCCCTGTTGATTAGGATTTGATTTGACCTTTGACCAGCAGCAGCTCACAGGGTGGCCAGGGGTTGTGAGCTAGTCTTGCCCAGTCTCCTGAATTCCCAGTCCAGGGCTCTTTCTGACAACACAAGGTAGTGGTAGAGAACAGCAGAGTCATGCCACTGTGGCTTCCAATCTCGGTGGCACCTGCTGGAGCTGTAGGAGAACTTGGCTTGGCCTCTCTGTGTCATCATGAGAATGACAAACAGGGCCTACCTCAGAGGGTTGTTGCAGCAGTGAGGCAGTGCCTGGCGCATCCAAGATCCCCAGTCCACGTTAGCTACGATTATTATTTGCTCTTTGCCACATAGAGCTTTGATCTCTCAAAGATCCATTAATTGTTCAGCCCTTTCTTCAAGGGATTAAAACAACAGCAAATGAAATTCTACATGAAATCATCATCGCTGTAATATTTCTGCTGCCAGGACAAATCAGTAAGCAGGGAGAATACCTGGCAGAGATAGCACTAGCCTGCTCAGAATGAAGGAGGGACATTAATACAGCAGCCTCCCTTCTAATGGCTGAGAAAGCACAAAGGGAGGGACATGCCAAAGTGGGGGCACACTGGCCCCACTGGGGTGACCTAAACGAGCCCAGAGATGGTGAAGGGATCTCTATAAGCCTCCACCTTCTTCTCCCAGAGCCAGCCCACCCTCAGCTGATCAGAGGACAGGAATTACAGGTAAATAGGAGGTTGGGTTCCACAACATCAAATCCAAGACTGTACAGCCCCAATCCCAGTTACTCAGGCAGATGAAGCAGGATGATCTCAAGTTCAAGTCCAGCCAGGACAACCTAGCCAGAACCTGCCTCAAAATGAAAATAAATTTTAAAAAGGGGGCTGAGGATGTAGCTCAGTGTGAGTCCCCTGGGTTCAATCCCCAGGACTGCAAAAAACAAAGCAAAAAAAAAAAGTCTAGTGCCCTGAGTAGCCATCCCTCCCTCACCAAGCGTCCTTGTATTAGGAGGCTACAAGGAGGGACAGGACAAGCTGGCTCCAGATTCTCCTTCCCCTGAGCAGCTGCTGGGCCCTCCAGCAAGTACTGGCCAGACACAACACCTTGGCCCCATGCCACCTTCAGGAGCCAAGCACAAGTCTCTGCAGCTTCCTGCCCTGTGCCAGCACACTCGTCAGCAGCAGAGGTGACCAGCAGTCAGAAGGCACACCGTTCTGCCTGGGCTTGGCCATAGTGGGTGTCTTGCTGGCCCCCAAGGGGCAGCT